CCTTGTCTCATAACCTACTTTAGGAATATGGCAGTAGATGATCTACGTTGTCTCTCAACAATATATATTTCTAAAAAAAAAAAAAACCACTCAGGAACACTGGTGTAACTGTTCAAGCCTACCAGCTGCTCTTTGAGAGGATGATGTGGCAGTCTGCGTCTGTAAAAACTGCAGCCTGGAAACCCTACAAGTCATTCTACTCTGTATTATAGGATATCGTGAGCTGGAATTGAGTCAATAGCATTTAATTTTTAAATTAAAATATAATTCACTGTCATTGCTGTTGTTTTTGTCAGGGACTATTGAGCTGGTTTCAAATCACAGCAGAAGAAAATGACGGTAGTTCTACACCATCCTCACAATCCTTGTTATGTTGAAGCCCACTGCGGCAGTCACGGAGTCAATCCATCTCACTGAGAGTCTTCTACTGTTTTGCTGATCCTCTGCTTTAGCAAGCATGATGTCCTCTCCAGGGACTGATCCCTCCTGATTGATTATATATTCGAGGTAAGTGGTTCAATGGAGTCTCATAACCTTTACTTCTAAGGAGCATTCTAACTGTATTTCTTCCAAGATTGTTGTTGTTGTTGTTAAGTGCCGTCGAGTAGGTTCCGACCCATAGCGACCCTGTACAGGGTTTCCGAGGGTGTAAATCTTTACGGGAGTAGAAAGCCTCATCTTTCTCCCGCGGAGCGGCTGGTAGTTTCGAACCGCTAACCTTAAGGTTCGCAGCCCGATTCATAACCACTCCGCTACCAGAGCATTCTTTTGGCATTCTGTGGTACCTTCACAAGTCTTCTGGAACATCATAATTCAAATCATCAATTCTTTGGTCTTTCTTATTTATTGTCCAGCTTTCACATGCATATAAGGTGATTGAAAATCCCATGGCTTGGATCAGGTACATTTTAGTCCTTAAAGCAAGTGTCTTTGCTTTTAATACTTCAGACATATTTGGCTCACTTAAATTTTCTTGGTTCAATACTTTTTGTTTTCTAACTCCAGGTATTTGCACAATACATTAAAATCAACTTGATGTAAAGTTACCTTTTCCATATTATTTTTATTTTTACATATCCTTAAATTATATCTACTATTTCCCACAAGTCTGGAATTTGTTTTATAAACAGAATAAACTCTTGTGATTTATATCCCTTCATCTGTAATTTGTATATGATTAAAGTCTCTTTTTAGTTTACTTCTTAATTTTATTGATTAGATGCCAAGTGACTTACCCAGTGCCTTTGGAAAGTGCAGAGTCAGACTTATAGCTAATTTCAACAAGAAAATATAATATCAACAAAATACTATTCATAAAGATAAAATACAATAATGTCAAAGGGTTTTGTTTTTTGTTGTTTTGTGGTTTTTTTCCTGTTCTTTTTGGCCTACTGAAACAAAGAGTACGCCTTTTGCCTATTAACACATCAGGAAAAACTATTACCATTGTTGGCCTTCCTTATGGTTGATATATTTACTCTGTAGGCCTGCCATGCCAAAGAATAAACATGTCAATTCTGGAAAAATTCCATACCAGTTATATCACTGACCATATACCTTTAGGTCCAGTACAATAACCCTTCAGGTTCTGTCATTGCTGACCTGGCAAAGAGCGTGGTTCTTTCCCTTATTCTCAGCTCTCTGTCCATAAGTCCGCCACAACTCACTCCGTGTATTGGTTCCAAGTTATGTATTTCTTCATAGCAAACTGGGGCCCACTAGCTCTAAAAGTCCACCAGAGTCAAACTCAAATTTTCAGAATTTAGAAAATTTTAGAACTAGCCTAAATAAGCAGAACTTTAGCTGTTTAGAATCTACTTGCTTCGTATACTTATGAAACTGCACCCATCATGTGCTATCCTAAATAAGAAAACCCTGTGGTGATTGGAACCCTAAACAGTTGCTACTCTTCATAGTTCTCATCTTGCTGTATTGAAGTTACAGCTTCTCCTTTTGTTAGTCCCCTATGCCATTTGCTTAGGTTGGTCTCCACTACAAGAGACTTTCTCTTACTACCACCAGCAAGCAGTACAATGTCAATGTGTCTGCCCCGATATATACACTGTTGTTCAACACTGCCATCTCAGGTTCCAACCTGGTATCTGAAATTCTCGGCATCATGGTAGTACCAACCTCTGGTCAAATCTCTGTGGTCTTAAGTGGTTCATGGACAACAGGCATCCCAGAATCCTGCCCTGACAGCTTCCTCTCCTGCCTTCCTCAAACACATGTGTTTCAGATCCAGGGTCTCTTCTATGTACTTGGTAGAAGTCCCATGTTGGGGAGTTACTTGTTGGTCTTGATGGTTTTTTAAACTGACACTCTCTACTGTCTCATCTCATATACCCTTTGTCCTTTCACCATCTTTTCACACAACCTCAGATCTCCTTTCAAAACGTATCCTGTGAATTCCCTTCCTTATATTTCTCTTAATAAATAAATTACTCTAATGTTCACATGTAATTGTTTGAACTGTTATTTAAATTTAACATTGTTACGTGCCGTCGAGTCGGTTCCGACCCATAGCGACCCTGTACAGGGTTTCCGAGGGTGTAAATCCTTACGGGAGTAGAAAGCCTCATCTTTCTCCCGCGGAG